CTCAAAATATATGGTTATCACATCACAATGATGGATTCAGGAATATTCTTCCGTTGTCTAATATTTACATGCTAATCAAATTCTAAAGATCAGCACAACAGAACTACTATGTATAGGAGCCAAAGAGATGAAGAACAAAATGGACTATTGGAAGGATCAGAAAAACTATATTCAACGATCAGGACTTATAACGCATTCAACTTACCCATTCTCTTTATTTTCATCTATAGCATCTGGCGCCATATCATCAGGCACTTCACACTGATATTTTTCACCAACTCTTATTTCACCTTTATCGGCTAGTAATGTCATTGCAGTTGGATCGAATACCAACGAGTAAAAAAAAGCATCCTAGAAAATGATTCATAAGTAATCTGTTTTGCATACTGAAAAAAAGAGTAATATCTCTTTTTTCAGATCATCTTAGTATAATCCATAACTTCTATTCCTTCAAAAATTTCAAAACATACGTCGCGATCTAAGTACATGTCTGGAGTTTCAACTTCACTCAGTAAAGTTACGTTACATTTGCCGCGAATATGTGTCGCTGGAAGTGCTTCAATTTGTCGAGTAAGATAAAGTTCATGTTGTCTAAAAATGAAATGATTTTTGTCGTTAACAATGAAGTTTTATCAGTACATCCCAACTTTCCATAAAGAAAAAATTTTAGTGGACTAATATTTCAATGTACAGAATACGCAAAACTTTTGTCAAATTTCAACAAGTGTTAAATTTGTAATTCGCCTTTCCACCACATATGGCCTACCTCAATACATGTCTTTCTTTCGGTGTCAAATTTTCAGCTCCTTTTGGAAGACCTGCAAAACCATAACCACCTTCCTTTGACTCTTCACCATCTCTATCCTTTTCATCGTCTTCTTTGGCATCTGAGACTATAGAATCAATAACATCCTCATTTTCCGAACGATTTATTCACAACACAATTCAAAATTTTCGGCTCCTTTTCGAAGATCCGCAAAACCACACTCCAGAAACTTGTTAAGAATCAGAAATTCATCAAATAATCAACTGAAATACACTTTTCCAACAAAAACGGATTATTACCTTTACTCTCTGATTCTACTTCTTCGTCATCACCAGTATCTACACACATAGGTGTTGGTGAATCACCCTCCTCATGAGTAGCAGTGGTTGGAGTAGCGTCATCTTTAGTTTCCTGATTGCTTTGCTGACCATTTTCAGGTGAACTTTCATGATCTATACAAATTAATTATGCACTCTTAGCACAGTATATCGTAAAGATAACATTGTAGTCATATTGTCAAATAGTCAAATAGCCGAGCAAAACAGAATACTAAAACCAAAAGCTTTGATGTTGAAACATTTACGACCACAATTAGAGGGCTTATTCGACAATACAAGGCAATATCTCTTATCTTCCAAGACATGTCCAAATGGCAGTAAATACCCAAAATTAGCCAAGTCATTCCCACCTATACATCGTTGATCAGACTCTTCAGGTATTAGATCTGCCAAAGATGCATGATTTTAGTGATATGCTCCATAATTTCTCAATATTACTCAATCACATTCAATCCCAAAATGTGATGAAAAGGATCTACATAAATTGTCTTGTTTCTTCCGCAACTTCGAATCAGTAAAAAGTTTGAAAGGTTCGTGACATAACAATAATAATGATTGAGATTTCTCACCTTTTTTCATCCCGTCGGATGATTCATCGCTTGCATCTCCTGTAGGAGCAGATGACATAACAACAAGACGTCGCCTTGTATTTACCACTTTATCTAAAAAATGAACTTTGAAAAAAAATACGTTGTAAGCAGCTTTTTGTATTCTCTTTTTGAACCTAAAGCAACTTCTTCACTGCATCTTTCCAAACATCATCACAGCAATTTTCCAGACATCATATGTTACGTCTTTTCACGTTAGCATTTAACACCACTCTAATTACCTACCAACTCTTTCTGCACGATCGGCTACTTTAAGCAGTGATGTAGGCAAGTCGCGTCGTCGACAAAAGCATGATACTTTCGCTTCCACATTTCCTGATGGTGTCTGAAGCTGTGCTCAAATTTCACATTTATTGCAATAAATTTTATCAGTAAGTCAGCTTTAATTAGGGGAAAAAAGTTCAAGCCAATTCCCAATTTCTGATCTTTACTTTAGTACCATTTTTAAGAAGAACTTTCAGGACAAAGTGAAGCAATCATTGAGCACATATGTAACTAAGCATATATGATGTGAACACGTGCATTTCTCACCTTATTCAATTCTTCAATTTTCCGCACTTGATATGGAGCTGCACTTGAAATCTCGAAGTATACAAAGTCTAGAGGGAATACTTTATATATTGAAAGAAAAAAAATGAAGGCCTGGATTAAGCATTCAATATCATGTAATTATGCAATTATGATTACTTGGTTATTTAATTATGCCACATTAGCAAATCTCATATAAATAGCATTAGGTAATCAAGAAAAGATGAAGAAAAAAAAAACAGTTAATTTTTTCAGTTAATTTCGTGAATTCTATTCCAAAATTTAAAAATTTTACCACCAACTCGATACATATTTTGCGCCATCGTAATTATGCATTAACAACGTCGAATATGCAGATAGAAGTATGCATAAATACAAAAAATCTGAAATAAAATGACCAGATTCACAAACACATTAAATGATACACGATTTGAAATGTGCAAAATATGATGATTACAGAAACAACCTCTTAAAATGACAGATAAATACAGCGCGACTAAATCAAATTGGTGAATAAAACTGACAACAAAAATAATAAATCAGAAAGAATTAAAAATTATACACAATGAAAAACTACGATTAAAAGAACTTGTTTTATTTAACCCGGTAACACTGCACAAACACTTATGTTTTCCAAATTCAAATATTACTAATAATTTGTCGAATAAATGAAGCCAAAAGATCAAACGCTAAACTTATTGTTACATGACAAGAAAAGCCAATAAGTAAATGCTTTCTTCGAGGAATGTGAAAAGAACGGTAATTCTCTTGCATTGAATTTCTAAATTCATTTAAAGGATTCAAAGGGTATAAAAGAAATCAAATAAGTTTACTGAAATGAAAATATATAATAAAAAATCCAACTTTGAGAAGTCTTTCATAAGATCCACGATGTGATACATCCGATGCTAATATGAAGTAACAAAATGCAAGAAGAAAAAAAAAAAAATAAATTAGGAAATACTAAGACATTACAAAGATAGCCCTTTTTTCATTATCTAAGGAAATTAAAATAGAACAATGACAACAGCAAAAAGCTTAAAAACTAACTTGTGAAAAGCTAAACGTCACGTATCATTTTGACTTCAAGCGTGATATACACAAGTAATCAAAGACGTCAAAATACGCTAATCTGCGAATCAATGAAACAGTAAGCTTCGAACTTAAGTCCTTCACGGCCAAACCCATACCTAGGCCACGCCACCAGCAGCGGACACGACGGATCAACGTGGACAGACTCCCTCCGCCCTCTGCCGTAATGGAAAAGCATAAACAGCTTTGTGCTACTGCTACCGCAAGGGCTTCATATGAGTGTGTGCGTGTCTGTCTGTCTGTCTGTCCGTCCGTACATCTCTGTGCGCAGCGTACTCGTCCATCATGGAAATCGATATCTGAAGTGGACCTTACGAACCGACAAGCGACCAAGTCACACGACTTATTTAGACCATCACCACCATCATCACTTATCATTATTATCATCACTACCGTCACTTGTCATTATCATCATCATCATCACTATCATCACTTATCATCATCATCATCATCTACCCTACACTTACACCTCAGTTGCACACCTCAAATGGTTGACATTTGAATTTTATGCCATAACTCTGTCCCCATATTCACATATGCTTATTTATCGGAGGACGGATGCCAATTAAAATGCCAACACAATCAAAAGGACACATAGATTTGAAGAAGTATGCAAAGTTAGATGAGGTCAAGTTGGTGTGTAGAGAAGGGATATCCTTACCTATAATGTACAAGTATGAGCAAGAAGGGATAGTGATTTGGCGCTAATCATTCCTTTGTTTGTGTATATATTGTATAGCTATACTGTATGCATAAGATTAGAACTATCTTTAGGAACTGATTAAGACATGGACACAATATGATGACAGTTCTTAATTTCATAAATTAGGCGATAAAAATTTTATATGTCTTGATTTCCTTTAGCAATGCTAATTATCGCTAATAAATAAATGATTGGATATCATTTTTCAGTATGGTGCAAAAAAACCGTAAGATTAGCGCCACAACTTTGCTTCACACTTTAATATAACAATTGTCGTAGCTTAACCAAGAGTATTTACAATCAGGATGGTGTTCCTTTTTTAAATATATTTACATAAAAACTTCAACAAATCTAGCTGATTATATTAGTAGTTTCATAAATTTCAAATACTGAATAAATTTACAAATCCAAAAATTTATAGTATGTTTAAAAAGATTGAAATCTTCATACAAAAACGTGTAGAATTTGTTGTAACAGTAATGTTTGGCAAAATGAAACATAAGTTAGAAAGATCCTTTCCTTTTATTCATTCCCTCCGCTCCCCCCCCCCCCCCCCCCCCCACAAAAAAAAAAAAAAAAAAAAAGAAAAGAACCACTCAAAAATATAAGCTGTGTGCATTGCTTCCGTTTATCGATAAAAGAAAGAATACAAAGGAAACACATCTCTCATCTATTCCTTGATATGATGGCAATATAATTTTTGCATTCAAGTCAATGTAAATCTTATTTATTCTTTAGTAAAATATCATCCGTCACTATTAAAGTACATTAAACACATTCCAAGATATCAATCATAGTTGCTGATGGGGTTAACAATTCAACATAGCAAGGTATATTTCACATACACCAGATGGTAGGAATACTAGTAAATTAGACCAAAACAGTGTTACTGATAACTTTTTGCTTCCCTGTGGCAATGTCTCAATACAGAAATAAATCAATACCCTATTAAAATGACTAGAACTCTATGATTCAAGGCATCCAACATTAAGGAACATCTGTCGCATATTAACGAAATCCGGTATTTTCGTCGTTCCTAAGTCCTCGAACACATCAGCCAAATAAGCTGCAAAAGCGAAACTTTGACTTGACAGTGAACTTTCTATTACTGTAGCAGCATATTCCGTGTCTTCCCATAAAATAATTCCCTCAATATCATAGCTTCAACTGTGTCAGTTCAACTGCTATTCACGACGGATAAATAAAATTCTAAACAAAAGTAAAAAAAGAGGCCACTAACTATAATCAACTGAAAGTTGTCGGCACAAACAACTCGAATATTCCGCAATATCACCAACTGTATCAACAAAACATTCTTGAACAGCAACTGCACATTTACCAACCCACCATGATGGAATATCGTCTGGGAAAAAAGATCAAATAACAGACTTTTTATATGAAAGTCAGCAATCAGGACTTTCCTATCAGAGACAATCTAAATATCCACTTCTACACTGATAACAAATGGGTGATGTAGACAGATTATATTGGACAATATTTAAGAAAGGCACGAATGTCAGCAAAATGCTAAGAAATGTAGTTGCTTTCAGAAGAAACAACAGCAGTGGAAATATTCCATCAAATCAACAATAGCATAGCTCGTAATTACAGTATATAATTATGATGACCAGCAAGTGATAGAAAGAAATGTTCTACCAAACTATTTAACTTATATCCAACTTAATTTTTTAATGAATTTTGGTGAATATTGTTCACACTTCTTTCAACTAACCTATGTATAGCTTCATCTCATTCATTTTAATTTCCTCAAGTGGCTTACCTACAGTTTCTAATTTTGTAGCAAACATAATAGCTGATGCCATATTGCTGTCCTGTGAATAGGCAGACAATTGATGAGCCAAGGAAAGGAGTGCCACACCAGCTGCTGTCACAAATTCGTTAGGTGAGGTCCCAAACGATGGTACTTTTGTGCTTTCCTGTACTTTGATATTCTCAGAATTTTTATCCGATATCTATAAACAGGATGATCATGAAAAAAAAAAAATGGAAATAACTGAAATGGCGAAGTTTCACGAAAATTTAGTCTTCCGAAACTAAGTTTCAGATAAAATCCAATTAATTCACGAACGAAACTTATTTTGCTATTTTCACCATGTAAAGTAATATGCAATCTGTACAGCCGGAAGTAATTCGAAAGTATAAAGTAATGAAAAGTTAACCTACAAGATTTCCTAATCCACTTTCCATATCCGCAATGAGGGTACGTGAAAGCACTTCAACAGTACGCGCAATAAATCGTTTGTTCATTTTCCGAACTTCTGCACGTGCCTTTGCTAAGTTAATATCACATTCTCCTTTAGCTACAAATCAAACTCAACTTCAATTTTACAAGATTAGAAATGTCACAAAGTTTCGCTAAAATTTGATTATAGACTAAACTAATTATGATAAATTTGTTTTACTCTAATCATCACTGATTCTGTTATTATTTTAGTGTTTATGAATGTGAATGAATGAGACTTATCCATAACTTCTGTAAAAAAAAAATAACTGCTGTTTCTTATGAAAATTAGACTTCACTACGATTAGATTTTACCATATTACAATTATAAAAGAGATATTAACAAACCCGACAATTTGCTTTGAAAATTTGAAATCTCGCTGAATAATTTCACTGACAATCTGCCAATAGTAGGATCTGTATCAACGACTCCTAAATGTTCGAACATATCTTTCAGTTGTTGCTTATCGTTATCGATCCATGTCAAAAGCTGTCCTGCAAAAGTTATTCCAGAATTTTCCACTAATGTGAAACTGGAAAAATTTCCTTTTCACATTTTTTATGCTTTCCGAAACAAATAAAATTAATTGAAAATAAAAAAAAAAAGCATTAAAAATCATGACAAAGCTACAAATCTGTCCATCAAATTAAAAAGTAAAACAGTAATTACAAACCTGATATGCTCACCATGCGCAAAACATCCTCGTCCTTAACAGTATTCTTATTCATATGCATTTTATAGAATTTATCCAACATCGACACCACATTTTCATACATTGTCTGTAAGTAATTACCTTTAATTATTTAAACATGTTATAAAAATCAGTATGCATTATTCATATATATAAAACGTCATTTACATCTACACAATGCATCACATCCATATTTGTAAGAATTAAACAACTGCATAGCTTGGATTACTTTATACACACTAACCCGAAATGCAGGAGTCAAAAAAATAATTGCAATATTCCCAAATGTTTCTTTGGCTATTTGTATTAAATAATTACTTTCCAGGATAAGTTCTGATAATCTGCTAGAAAGTTGCTCCAAGCATGCAAATGTAAGTGTGGAATCCTGGAAACAATAAGTTTTTTGAATTTTTAATTATTTCTATCAGTCTTTGCAACATATGAACACATTTCCAAATGAAATCAATGAAGAGAAAAATGTTTAATGAAATATAATGAAATCTTTTTTTTCTGAAGAACGGAAAGTACCGATCATTTCCTTAATATTACAGTTAAGTAGTTGGTCAATAACAAACTAGTGAAATATTCGAACAGTTGGCCAGGAATGATGTTGCCAGCTTCGTGTATTCACTGGTTGTAGAGAACAGAAGAAGTTCACCAAACTGCGTAATACATTTTGCTATGGATTTGTCATCATCAGGACGTAACACGTACTGCGACATTACCTGAAATTCATATTAATATTGAGCTATATATGTCTAAATCCAGAAAAATCTTTAATTAAAAATGTTTTTACAATGCATATATTTTACAACATGTTTTATAGAATGCAATTCACCAAACACGTTGTGAAACACTTGTCTACTGTCAAAATGTCAGCAATCATCGAAAGTTTATTTGTTAAACAACTATAAATAGCTTGAAGAATAGGAAAGATAGCGTACGCGAACAAACATTGTGTTTCAGACTGATTTTTGAAAAACTGATAAAAAAATGAAAAATGGAGCAAAGGATACAATTTTACTGACCGATCTGAATTCTAAAATCATTTTCAGTGTTTGTGAGCCAGACACATCATCTTCTAAAGTCTTTCCAATTGTACCTATACATGCATCCTTAATTTCATTTTCCCGCATTAGGATAACTTCTTCAAATGTGTTCGATAAAAAAACATCTGGAGTATCGAGAACCTTTTCTACCCATCTGAAAAAGTAATAGAATTTCTGAAGAAAATCCAAAATTTTCGTCATTTTTCAGGCACCAGTCACGAATTTAATAATGCTCATTATCAATTAAAAAACAAATCATATGGTTCTAAAGCTAGGTTTCATTTCCACCATGCTATAAAATATACGATTAATAGAAAAAAATTCCTCAACTGAGTCCATGCAAACTCAAATAGTGAATACATATATACAGCATATTATCGTCATTTTTCATATAATAATTATTATATCAAGAAATTATACCGACCGCAACATTACGCTTCACAGAACTTACCCATCCATTAGTCGTTTATAGCTTGAGATAATTACACCACGAGTATCCAAGAATAAATCGGATAAATTATTAGCCGCATGAAAAGTAAATTTATTCTCACCTTCTAAGTAGTGCCTTACAACGTTATTAAAATCTGAAAATAATCGAAATTGCTCAGATTTTACAGGCAGTATTATTCGCAATCATTAGAGTGTAATTAATCCACGTTTTTATTTCCTGATGGAAAATAACAAGTGTAATGCCTGACGTTTTCAGCGGAAAAGGTAAGAAAACCTTGTATTCTTCGTAACATTTCATATTTTTGTTTAACCGGTAAAAGATCATCCACTGGTGTTTCCGATTGTATTGCTAATACAATGCGCGTCGAATACCAACTCAGGAAGACATCTTTTATTCTTTCCAGAAAATCTGCTCGCTCGGGGACACTCAGAAACTGAAATCATCTGAGGATGGCCATTGAAAGTAAAACTTTCATTATCTGCATAACTTCGGTTTCCTGTTTATTAGTAATTTGGTAATTAGGAGAAATTCCGAAAATTCAACAACTTTTACAACCTCAGAGAGAGATTCGTATGCTTTTTGCAAATTGATAACAACATTTTCCGGTGCTGGTTCATTTACGTCCAAATTTTCAATAATAATAACATTTTCCTTCCATAACTTACGAGCCTGCAATAAATGCTATCTCCTTACAATCTTATTTATAAACTTATTCAATAAAAAATTCCTTTCTTATCTAATCCAAACGAACCATTTGTAATATAACTTGTTCACCTAGAAAAACATTTATAACAGACAATAATATTCTACAAACTTTTTCCTTCTTTACCAACCATCAAAATTTTGACAAGATCTGCTGCGCGCCTATCGGCTTTATCATATATTGCGATGGCATCAAATTCATTTGCAAACTGCTCCTTGGCATGCGCATCCACCACCATTTTTAGGCATTCATGAAGTTCAGTGCAAGATCTATCGCATTCTTCCAAATTGCTTTTATCACTTCAATGAACTGACTTGAACAAAACAATTCGCAAAGATATAATCTTGGATGAGAATTGAAAAGAAATGAATGGACAATGATTGCCAACCACTCAGCATTTACTTTAATACTTAAACATTAGCACTGCACTCAGACTAAGAAGCATTTGGAATGACATAAAAGTTTTAAAAATAAATACCATTTGGTGCGTTCAAATTCATTTCTTATGTTCACCAATAAACTTTCCGCTTCTTCGATTTCTGCTTCAACTGCTTCTAATAGAATCTAAAAACCAAACTGATAATCTTTGTACTTTCGGTAGCTTTTGAGCCCAACTGTTGGGATAAAACAAGACATAAGTGCAAATAACTAAAGAACTGCTTTGACAATCCAAAACCAAGTTAAAAAATCCACAGTAAGACCATCTGAAATAAGGAGTTGGTGTGCCAGCTGTAACCAACTGTACGCTATCTCATATCAAATGATTGTCACACTTATTCGAAAATAGAACCTACCAATATAAAAATCGGATTACATTTTGAGCAAATTTCTTCAAAATTTAAAAACTGAACAAACTAAATACAGTGTTTCAGAACTAATAATAAATGAAATGAATTGTACTAAGTAAACGAAGTGGTAATTCTTAGGAAAACAAAAAAAAAAAAAATTAGATAAGTAAAATTAATAAACTGCGAACAGAACTGAACACAACAAAAAAATATGTGGAGAAATTAACAAAAAGATGCTAAAATAATCACATTAATAGGCTCTTCCCTAGAATTGATCCAATTCACTACCACATTTGTGGTCCAATGTTCCGGAAAAGTTGGAATTTCAATCTAAAAGAAAAGAAAACGTTTGAATAAATCTTATATTACACACTATGAAATACATTTAAAAGGTATGAAATATATTACAATATTACGAGAATGCGAAACAATAAGTCCATTATCATAACAAGAAATTAACTTTCGATTTAAAGTTTCGATTTCTATGAAAATTTGCAAAGCAAAAATTGTTGCATCTCATTTTTGTTCTGTTTCTTTCTTTTTTTTAAACACCGCACTTTAATTTATATGATTATATTCAGAGATCTTTCCGTTAAATTTTTCAAAATTTCTGTTTTCCTTTTCCTCAAATTTTTCAAAATTAAAAAGACAATTTTGAAGCATACTTTTGACATCGTTAATGATTCGCTGTCCCACAAAAGCAATCAGTGCCACTAAACTAAGACTGATCCTCAACATTTTCATATCGATAGCAATGCTTCGTTATTTCCGGATACCCGGCATTTCGAAGTGCGTTTCGGATTGTGCTAATTTGTTCGTTTCTCTTCTTCTCATTCATTTTTTACGGACGTATGCAAGTAGACAGCGAAACTTTCCGGAGAAAGTATGGAAAGTTTTCAGTTCTTTCCATACTCTGGTTGTCATATGCTGATTCGTTGCCTGATTTGTTATTACTTAACAGATTTGCTATTCCAAAATTGAAAATAAATTATCTCTCAAAAGCCCTCAGAAGCCACTCTATAAAAGCTACCAAAAAAATCGCTCTATTTCCGGAATTTTCTGGCACAAAAATGATTTCACAGCCATTCAATTTATTACAAAATCTTACCGTCATTTTCGTTTTTTTTTTTTTTTTTTTTTCTTTTTTAAAACTTTGCATTTTCTTCCCTTGTGCACACTTCTCAATTGGAGAAAAAATTCGATGTGTCTAATTTCAAAGAATTTCTTTTTTTGATGCTCATTTGGTTAAAACTTTGATATTTTCGAAACTTTGCTATTTTTCATTATATGAATAATATAATTTGTATCTGTCTTTTTCGAGAGATCCTTATCTAGGCGACATTTCCTGTCACTTTATACTTTTTTTCCGCAGAAACTAATAGTTGTATGAGAGCATATGTTGGCATAGAAAGGAAATTTTTCTATACTTCTCTCTTTTTCTATTTTGGTTTTTTTACCGTAGTCTTTTTTTTTTTCTCTTTCTGTTAGGTCTCTCAATTGTCGCCAAAAAAAAAGTCGTTTTATAGTTTACTTCATAAAACTGTTCGTTTTTTTTTTTTAAAACTGTTCGTTTTTTTTTTTTTGATATTATCTATTGTTTTTTCAACAACCTATTTAGTAAATGTAGCTTTTAAAGTATGAAAAAAGAAGATATAAGGAAGATAGTGCTATGTATGTTTCCAGGGATGAGATATAAAACAGTATCGGGAATACGGTGGTTCATGGTGAAAAGTTGAAAAATTGGAAAAGAAGAAATTTTCAAAATTTGGTAGCAGAAAATTTTATAAAATGGTAGATTCGAATTACTTATAAAATTTCATGTTTTTCTGTACAGTTCTGATAATTGTCTCTTGTCTCGCTAGTTGGATTAAGAGAGATCCGTATCATTTTATGATTGTTTTGTAAATAAATTATGCGGTAAATGCTATTTTGTTTACTTGGAATCTTCAGAACTTCAGTTTTGTTTGAGGTGTTATGAGCAAAAAGATATTTGGACTAGAAGATATACGACATACCCATACATTTCAAGGTACACCATCAAAGAAGAAGCGGTATAGTTTTCCGACGGTAAGTCTTTTAATATTGTTCAAGCAATTTCACTTAACTTGGAAACAAGTACTCATCGAGTTCATGAATGAACAGTTTATTTTGTGTAGCATTGTGTCTTCATTTAGCATGTAGCTTTGATACTTCTAAAAGTTTTCGAATTTTAGGCTAACTCGTCGGGCTTATTCACCAGTTCATCCCAATCTAATTCTCTGGTGGATCCGATATGGGAAACAATCGACCCAACTCCTGATTTACATGCACTTTTCCAGCAGTATGATGACAGTTTCTTCGGTGGAAGATTAGCTGCATGTGAGGTGAAATGGAGTTCTCGAATGACCTTGTAAGCTTTATTTCGAGGTCTTAATCAAGATTAACTTAAAGACTTGTTCTTTCGTAACACTAGAAGTTAAATTTTTTGCGATGATATTTTCCCATGACGCTCTGTGTTTCTTGTATAAGTTGTGCTGCAAGAAACACGTTGGGAATCTGCTTAACTCATAATGATTACAGGTGTGCCGGTATATGTTCTTTTGAAAGTAAGGGCAGATTTTGTTCCATTCGACTCAGCAAGCCACTTCTGCAATATCGACCTCGGAAAGATCTGGTGGAAACACTGCTACACGAGATGATCCATGCCTTTTTATTTCTCTCTGATGGTGTCATGTAAATTTTCAATTAAAACTAAATATTTGCTGGAATATATACTTGCTAAAAACTAAATATACTTGCTGAATTAAAATGTGATGAGATAATCTTATAGTTTGGAAAGATTTTCCACATTTCTGTTCTAATCCTTTGCATCACTTATCACCGGTTCTGATACGCTTTTTTTTTTTTTAGGGATCATGACGGACATGGACCAATGTTTCAATTCCATATGCACCGTATTAACATGAGCGCAGGAACAAATATAACTGTTTATCACAATTTTCATAATGAAGTAGTATATCACCAAAAGCACTGGTGGAGATGTACCGGACCTTGCCGGTAAACTAATTTAGTAGTAGCACAATTGGTATCATATAGATTTTGTGTACTGACGTAAATGAAACTAGAAAACCAAATTGGTTAAAATTTCGTGAAATTCTTTGCAAGGATGAAAATGATATACGCATAAGTTTTTCTAGGATGCGTCCACCATTTTATGGTTGGGTAAAGCGATCAATGAATCGTGCTCCTGGTATGAATGATTTTTGGTGGAAGGAACATCAGATGACCTGTGGAGGTACTGCTGAATATATATTAATATAGTGCTTATTACATATGTAGTATGTTTTTCTCGGTTTGAAGACTTAATGCAAAGATAATTTATAGGTAACTTTGTCAAAGTCAAAGAACCTGAAGGTTACGGTACGAAAAAGATGTCCAAAATATCGAATGGAAATTCACAGTCTCAATCATGCTATACACCTCTAAGTCGATATTTCACGGGAAAAGCCGGTATTTCGAATCAGCTGTCGTCCTCAGAAAATATCTTAGATTGCAATCTTAATGTGGACAGATCTAGAAATAATCTTGATAGTAGTGGGATGAAACTTAAAATGCCTGCTAAAAATTATTACACTGGAGGTAACTCGGGTGCACAAAAATCAGCTTCAACAGCTAAAGAGGATGCAGCAGCGATTGCGGTACCAAAAGATAATTTTCTGGAAAAAAACATTCCGGGAAGCAGCAGATCAGGTGATGTTAGGAATATCGAATTAGTCGGCAACGATGTTATTATTTGCGTGCAATGCCCAGTTTGTACTGTCCATGTTCCAGAAAATACCATCAACTCTCACTTGGATTCATGTCTCACACAAAACTCATGAATTTTGCTTGTAGCTTCATTTATCATTGTTTTTCTTTTTTGATAGCTTTCAGTGATATAACGGAATACTTACTGATAACGAATCATGCTTTTTCTTCTCCTGCCACATATTTCTTGAAGTTTGGTTCAATCCTTACCGCAATTTTGTTCACTGAAATGTTGCATCTCTAGGGAGGATCTTAGATATATCCCTCAATTTTTGGTGCTTTCCAAATAAGTTAGAGTCCATTAGAGCTTTTTTTTTTTTTCACATTAACTTGATTATTAATTGATTACTTTTGGCTTTAGTTCGATATGTATTATGATTTCAGCATACTATAATTCTCAAAACTATCCGCGTGAACCACATAGTTTCGTGATCTTTTAAGAATTGTCATCTACAGTGTTATTTTATTTATGAAATTTTGAAAAACTGGAATTAATTAATTCCACATGTTAAAATGTATAGCAAGCTCTGATTCTTTTTTCTTCTCCTGCCACATATTTCTTAAAGTTAGCTGCATAAGGAAATTATGTAACAAAAAGAAGCCCACGGATCCAGAAATTTTTTAGAGATGCCAAAAAGAGTGAATCATTACCATCATCTGAATTTAAAAACGACCGATTTTTTGGCGTACCACAAATCTGGAATAATTAAATTGAGTAATGAAGTGACACATAAGCCTTCTGCATATATTTTAAGACAAATTTCTGAATGAAATTTAAACCAATAAATCTCGCTAACAAAAACCATTATAGAAAAGGGCATAAACGAACAAGACGCACGGATTAATTAGTGAAACAATATAAACTGAAATACGGAAAAGGGATTTTGACAGTTCATGAAGAGGGAAAGAACATGCATGTATTATAAATTTGTGTAGGAGATCTGTTTGACACAGTGCTACTCCATTTCGTCATTTGTACAAAGAGAATTTTGGTTTCCAAGAAAAATAAAGATCTGAGACTGAAAAAATCGTTCAACAAACAGTTGGCGAATCAATGAATTGTTTGCCAAATGTACGAGATATTGATGTTAGATTGCAAGCAAATACGTAATAAAAAAGCTGGAAACAATTCAGCATAAATGTTTAAATATTTGTGAAAAACCTCATTTGCCAAGTAAACTAAATTTTATAAACAATTTAAACTGAAGAAAAACGACGAAAGGACATAAATAAACTCCGCACAACATAAAGAAAATAGGAAGAACATTGAAAATCGTTACGCTAAAAACTTTGATTTATTTAGAGAAAAGAATTTTTGGTTAATTAAAAAACGTCCACGAGTGGACATACCGATCGATGGGAAAAGTAACACACTGCATCCCGTTTTCTCTGTTTATTCCATTTTTCATTTCATCGAATCATCATCAGCAATCTCGTGTGGATTCAGCATCCCAGGAACCTCAAATAGAGATAATTCATGAAATCCTCCACATTAAACTTCAAAATTCATGAACTTTATATAAATAGACATTGTTACCTCTTTCTTTGCATTCTGAACGTTCTGAATCTCTTGTTCACGCTCTTCAATAAACAGATCAGATGTATCTTCACCAACTCTCTCCTGAAAAGAAGAAACAAATGAAAAACCTGAACAAATAAAAATAAAAAGTAAAAAAAATTGCAACCATCAGCTTTTCTGACATTCATTCATCCATCTCTAAAACGATATCATGAAGAGCATTTAGCAGGAAAAACAACAGCACCTTAGTAATTTATTCCCCAATTCAAACTTTCCCACTCAACATTGAGTTTAGATCAAAAACCAATAATTAAAAAAAATAATTAATAAAATTTTAACATTTACCTTGATTTGGACCAAGAAATCACGCAAATGATTTTTCATCTTCACTGAATCAATATTGAATGAAAAAAAGCCTTTCACTGTTACACGAATTTGATCCCTAAAAAATAAGTTGAAAGAGAATCAAATTATCAAATACTCAAATAATAAGTAACAACAAAACTCCTTTAGTTAAAGTTATTTACTAAAATTCATATGAAAATTCAACAATGGGGTAAAAGAATTTAACTCACTATTCATCACCAACGACAATACAACGGGAAGGAACTTACGGCGTCAGATTGTCGAACGCTTGAGCAAAAGTTTCGCTGATGTGCATGTAAATATAATCGATGTTTGATTGGGGTGGATTCAGCTGCTCCGTGATAGATATTTCGGCTGCATAGAATAATGCACACAAAATATCCGCATAGCATGATAAACCTATAAAAAAAATTTACAAAATGTAGCAATAGTTATTGATACCGTTCACTGTTTGTTATTACTTATTAGTATTCATCACTATCATTATCATCATTATTATTACCGCAACTGTTAATTATATTAGTATTGTTATTATTATTATTATTACCGTTATTACTATCATTATTATTGTCTTATTATTACATTTTCAATTACTCGTGTTATGATTTGTTGTACCAAATCTAATATTCAGGAATGCTAAATACATGCAATATAACAATTACAATTAATATAAGTAAGATAAATAGCATTAAATCAAAATTAGTTTATATAAAGTAAGACCAATGATATAGAATTCTCATTTTGTTGCACCACCGAAAAGTGACTTTCAAGACAGTTCAAAAAATAATGCAACATATGAGTAGATATAACATTAAACAAAGTACAGCTGATTAAAGGGTTATCAAATTATTCTTACCGAGAATTTTTATCTGGTTACTATCGGTGACAACAGTTAATACATGCACGAGTATTTCCATGAAAAAATGTTTGTAGAAAGTTTGTGCTCGCTCTTTATCTCTGTGCACGCCGAACTGTGTAAGCATATCCTTCAAGATGTCCAAACCTATAATGCCACCTATATTTTTCTTTATTTAATTGATTGCAGCAAAAAGTATGTTCCCTCGATTTTGAATATTTCATTCTATAATTCTATAGAAATCATTTCATGAAACAAGAATAATACCGATCTCTGCAACATTTCTCATAGTATGCTTGAAAGCCCAAACAACTGCGTCCACAATTAAACGAAAATGTTCTGGGGGAAGTGATATGAGTACATCGAAGCACTCATGGTTCAATGCTTGGAGAAGACTGAAAAAGTTCAATCGATGTTCAGGATACTCCTCCATGTCGCGATTGATCATCTCCAAAGTACAAGTAAATACAGCGTCCAGTATGCGGATGACTTCTGGATTAATTGACGACTGCAACAAAAGAAATTCAGCTTTACTGTATTGTAAACAACGGATTTTCACATCAATCTGCATTCAGCAGTAAGATACCCAGATACCTACCTTTTCACTTCTAGTCTGCAGAGTAAGTTCAAAGTATAAAATGTCATAGAATTCCGCTAATCATGAATTAGAAAACCAAAAAACTCAGTCATAATCAACGTACCTGTAGCTGCGAAACGATAATAGATAATAATGAAAGGACTTTTGGTTCACGAGCTGCTGAACAATTACGTTGATAATCAAAAAGAACTGCATCAAACAATGGAGGAACAAAATTTTCTAGCACAACCTGAAAATATTCAAGTTTTCTTCAAAATCTACCACACATATATACGGAAATTTTCATTCACTAAATATTAGTAGACTCCAAAACTTGAGTCCCTCTTCAATCTTAGTCACTAAGTAAGTAGCTCAGGTAAAAGTTTGGTTGCGAGTTGATGGTTTTATCTACTGCATTATTTTGCAATATTTTCGTTTTGTTGCTCTCAGAAAAAAAATCTTACATTTGCATCCTGTGTTTTACCAACCCATGTTGAAATAAGTGTCAGTATTTCACGTTTAACAGCTCTCATCTGCTTTAGTAGAGGCTGCTTGAGAACCTCTTCACCTGACTGTGCCACCAAACCACTGATATTTTCCGAAGTAACTTTATAAACATTCAACATATCCAAGTAAATTTTCGAAAGCTGTAATTATTTAATATGTAATATGAAATGACTGTTCGGAATAATCTTTGAAATTTCAAAGGAAAGTTAAAATTGACTCACCTGACAAATGAAAGGCTCTCCAATCGAACGACAAGCAGCAACATTTGTTTTTAAAATATTTACAATATTCTTAACAACTTCTTGTTCTTTCATCACATTAATATCCTGAAATTCACGACTCATAACCATTCATTCTTACTACAATTTTCGAAGCAAAAATGCCACTTTAATGTAACCACTAAAAAATGACCTTTCGAATCATCCCAAATGCACAATAAGCGAGTAAGTAAGTGAATATATTTTTTTAATTTATTACTCCTTTTATTATTAACTTCTCTATCAAAAATTTAAGTTGTAGATGCTTTTGCAACTAAGGAAATACACAATGTGAGAGATTTCTAGACGTGATATTTCATCTCCTTGTTCTCAAACAACATGAACGAGAGCATGTGCAATGTTCTTAGCAACTGAATTCCTTTTTCCAGCAACAACACAATTTCTCTAGCACAAGTAATGATCTCTCATATTGTTACAAAATACAAAAAAACAAAACGAATCCAAATCCCCATAAAAAAACTTTCAACCTGACTAGCATGCGAAATAATTTCTTCCCAAATTGAATTTGGTAACTGCATCAGGCGTTCAATGAGGCTTTCACGAATAGCTGGATCAGTTTGTGCAGATATAAGACAACCAACAGCTTCGTAAAACACATGAACTTGCTGTGGAGATAAGTCACAAATGATCGAATTCAATCCACCCAAAATCTCATCAATAAATGGACCTGTTTCACCTGCCTGAGTCTGAAATTTAGAAATGAAACGATTCTCTAAATAAGTACAATACAACAGTGACACAAACATTTCTTTTTTAAATCCTAGTATAAAAGGGCAGATCAATTAACACTAGAAGCATTAGTGTTAAAAAAAAATCCGTAATACCAAAACAAGTCATTTCAAACTAATTAATATTCTTTTATTTCATAAATTTGTTACGCAGATTTTTCTTAAAATAAGTTCTAATAAATTGGTGTTCAACGAATTCCACCAGTTAAATTCATTTAGCTCCCTTTCTCCACTTCAAGTTAA